AAAAAAAAGTGAGAGTCATTTTTGCAAGCCCCTCTGATCCGATAGAATCTAAATGTATCTAAATGTAAAATTGACCGATGGAATCATTGCAAGTGGGCCAAGCAACATGAACCAGTGAAAACCTGGGGTGCAGGACTGGCAGTACGGCAAACTGTTTGCAGGGTATGTCGTGAGTTGCAACATGGTTTGCGAATCATCAACGCACTCCCAACAGCTGTTGCAGAAGCCTTCCGAGAGAGGCATTCGTCCAAAAAGACGAGACTTTTCTTTACAGTAATTTGTCCAGCGAATGCTTGCATATCAGAATGTGCATTTCTATCTTCAGAAAACATCAAAACCTGTACCAAAAAGTACAGAACAATCCTCTACCCAAAGTGAAAGCGGAAGAGCCGCCGGGCTAGGTCGGTGGCTGGTCCAATCGTCCGCTGCTGCTCTCCTTGGCCATCCATTCTCTCTCCCTCTGCTGCATCTCGTTGGGAGGCCACGGGGGCCCGCGCGGCTCCACAAGCACCTCGCAGGGCTGAAACCTTGCAACCAGCACCTCCAACGAAACATGCACATCCATTGTATGCGCATGTAGTGCATGTATGTCTGTACTAGTATGTATGTGTATGTGTATGTCTATTTCTGTCTGTGCATGTCACTGTCGACATGTACGTCGTCCGTGTATGTGTATGTGTTTTGCTATGCAATGCAATGTTTTGGAATGTCATGTAATGATTGTAATGTATGTGCCACGAAGGCATCGAGCCAGTGGCTTGCGCCGCAAGCCGTAAATGCCAGCCACCTTAATCAAGAAACGATGCAACAGTCCGAGCACATCAAGGGATTTGGTCCTCACTACTCCACAAGGGGTGGCCGCCGCGATCTAGCACAGGGCAGCCGGCGGCCAAAGAAAGCAAAGCAAGGACGCCCTTTTCGCAAAGTCACTCAACCTCAGCACTCCCCTTAATCAGAAAGGCCATGGTGGAGGGCCCTCTTGCGCACGCTCTCTGGTTCACACCAGACAAGCGCAACTGCCTTGGACAGCGAATCCAGCCATCACCAGCGGCAAACTTCAAAGCACTCAGCGCACTCTGCACCCCCACTCGAGCGCGCGCAAGAGCAAGTAAATCCAGCAGCGGATCTGAAAGGCCAAAAACAGATTTGGATTGGGGCACGCCACGGGCTACAGGACAAACACACATGCACACACACAACATATATATATATATGTATATTTACATAATCATTCATGTCATTCGTGTATAATATAGTATACGCATAGGTATGCCAAAACAATCCAAGATCAGTGGCTTTGGAAAAGGAATCATGCATTTCGCGACCCCCTTGGTTCTGGACATGTCTGTCGGTGTCTGTTCTGGACATGTTCAGAAAATCACGCTTGAGTGGATGAAATTACATCGTCTTGGTAGATCTTGCATCGTTTCATCGATTGCGGATCGCTGTGCATCTGCTGTGCATCTCGTGACCGAAAGACCTCGCGGGTCCCGAGTCCGGCCTTGGCCGATTCGCTGGGCAGGCTCCGTCGGGCAGGCTCTGCCCTCGGCTCTGCCCTCCTCGAGTGGGCGACAGTCCTGGCCCTTGGGGCCACGTCGCCCTCAACTTCTTCCAGTGTCTTCTCTGTCTCTGCAAAGGTGTCTGCCTTCTTCCGCGCCTTGACTTCAGCTCTCCTGGCCTTGACTGGGCCCTCTGTTTTCAACCCCTTGCCTTCAATCTTCTTTGCCTTGAGAGGAGCCAGTCGCTCCCATGCTGCTCTTCCACGTGCCACATCAGCTCGAATCCATTCCTCAGGAAAGCCGAAAGGCAGGCCGTCTTGCTACACAGCTGAGCCGAAGGCCCAATGACAAGTACAACCAAGAATATATATATATAACTATATATTAATATATGTGTTGGGTCTATCCTATTACCTGGGCCCGATGATGATGGTTGGTAAAGGCCTTGTTCAAAAATAGTGTATACATTTTGATATATTTTGTCTATACTGACGGTTACAGGTAGTAGGACAGACCACTAATGATACATAATATATTATATATATATACCTAGAACCCATTTGACCTCTGTTCTCATAGGAAAAAACATGTTTTGGGTCAAAAACAGGGGTCAATCAGGTTCTAGGTACGTATATATATATATATAGTATGTTTTTCTTTTTCTAAATGAACTACTCTTACAAAAGGCGGACAAAAGCATGGGGTTGTATCAAGAACCAGCTGCAAACAGTACACAATCCGTTTCTCCAACTGATCTCTACCCATCCAACACTCCTGCCCCCCCAAATGCAGCTCCAAATCAATCTCTTTGGCCCACCGCCCTTCCTCTCCTTTTGCCGTCCTCTTGGAGGACCGGCTCCGCCGCGCGGACCCCCACGCGTCCTCCACGTCCTGCATGAGCAAGCATGCGGACCGCGGGGAGCGAGCAAAAGCAATGCACCGGTGGGGTGTTAGGGGGTGGTGGTCTAGAGTCTACGCCATCGAGTGGCAAACGCCATGACGCGGAGGGGGTGGTGTGTCAAGTGCCAGGAGGCCATGTGTCAAGTCTTGATGCGGAGAAATGTGCTTGGCATCCCAAACAAAAATCGTTTTGGATGAGTGGCGGCAGTCTTTCGGATGCTGGGACGTGCAGAACGAGGGCTGGAATCCTTGCATACAGGATGCTGTGGTGCTGCACCCATGCTGACTCTTGAGTGAGAACGAACTGCGAAGTGCATATGGATGTTGAGAGCAACATGTCACTCGAATCTCTCGAATACGAAGGACATGTTCCTGTGACCAATGACTCTCCTTAGAACCCTGCATGCAGCATCATGCAGCAAGACAATTGGGCTATTGCACCATTTCTTGATCATTTGATGTCGTTTGATCAGTCTGGCCCCAAAACGCACGGGCCGGATTGCTATGAGCAGGTCCGGGCTGCTATGAGCAGGTCCTTCTGCAACCACTGTCGGTCATCAAACTTTGGGACATGCGAACTGCCCTTCTTCGCCAACCTTGGGACGGGCGGCCTCTCCTGCCGCGTTTCCGGTGTGACGCGATCAAACAGAAAGGTGAACATTGAGCAGGGTGTATAATGGGTGCCTGTTGGCTTGGCTTTTGGTTCTGAGTCTTCCCAATTCCAGAACGAACCCAAATATGACAGCGTGAGACAAAGGACACGAGATTGAAGGTGTGAGAGACATCCTTGTTGTGATCTGTCGGGGTCCTCGACATTGGAAGATTCAGCCTTGATTTCAAAGGGCTTCTCACTGCTCCTTGCAGGGTTGCACATGTCTTCAATCTTGACTCTTGGAGACTCAAGGCAAATAGTGATTGAATTCAAGCAGCGTGGAAGGAACCTCCCCGCGCGGACGCGCAGCGCGAAAACGCGCGTCCCCGGTTCGGTCCCCGTTTCAGCCAGCTCGAAGTACTGGGGAAAGCGTGTGAGACGCTGGGCGGGAGACATCGAGCCAATGTCATCAGGCAGAACTTCGAAGTGGCGCATGGCCAATAGCACACCCTGCCTGGACTGGAGCTTAGACTGAACAAAGCTGAGACCGTCTGCCGGAACCGTCAAGTGGATAAGAAGGAAGCTAGCTAGTTATCTCACAAGGAACCCAGTTCAGCCCCTGTTCCACTTCATTGTACAATGACAGCGCTAATTGCAAAGCCGTGCTTTTATCATCTGTTATCTCGCCAAGTTACACCAAGACTTTCACAGTGTATGTGCCAGCAGTTAGCTGACTTCCCAAGTAGCGCTCCCAGATTGGGACCGCTTCTTTCAGCTCTCCTCCACCTCTGAAATGGACAATGCCATCCTCATCTTCCCATCGGGTTTCAAGAAGTCCTGAACATTTCGAGGCTGGATCACTGGAAGAAGATCAAGTACAGCGGGTGGCACAATCCCATGAGGTGGTTTATATGGACCCCCATCTAAAAGAAATCTTGGGAATTGCCCCATCTACCCTACCCTGAAACCAATGTATACAATCACACACCGTAAGGCCACAAGGTTGAAAAGGAAGTTGATGCACCCAAGTTGGTGTGGGCCCCTTGTTTTCAAACCAAAGCTACATCAACTTACTATTACAAGCACCTCAGCCACCCGCTCACAAGTCTGTTTCCTGCAGCTGCTTAAAGGCTAGCAGCTGAAGGCTGAAGTTATACGATTTACTGTATACAATCGGGCATGAATGACGATCGTTGCTCCAATTGATTCAACTGCATCTTTCAGGATTGGGAATCCCTGTGTCAAAACCGTCAACCAAAATTTGCTGGAATTGTCTGACAGCGCAAACGAGAAACATCTACGCAGGCGCCCTGGCACCCTGATTGGATGATATTGGATGTCATACATCTCAGCACCACATCTGCCTCCGGTCCTGCCTTATTTTTTGGGCAAGTGTCCAGTCCACCAATGACAGGCCTGCGACTCTGCTTGAATCAATGGCAAAAGGACCATCCACAAATCATCCGTCGCTGAGCCTGTGCCGATGGCTGTCACACAGAAAGGGGGCTCCTGAGCAGCCCCTTCTGTGCTCAAACTGACTCAACCCCCAAAACAATCCCCCTAATCACGAGCTTCCCACACATCTGGTTCAGAGCTCGAAACGCGGTATATACACACCTCTGCAAGCATATTCTGCGAACGTGCTATCACTCCTCTATATGAATAACCAATGCAACGTGTGACACGTGGACCTTGCTTGTTCTTTTGATCCTTTGTGCACATCAGGCAAGGATCTGGGCACCAAAGAAGGAAAGCCAGTGAAAGCAAAGCGGTCACCATCCCAGCCGCTGCCGATCCGGAATATAAAGGGAAAGCTTGCTGGGCGCCCACTTTGCCTGCCAGGGAGATTTGACAAGGATGCTAGTGGTAGGCAAATGCCCTTCACTCTATCTCCAGATTACCTCCACACTGTTTGACCATATGAGATGCACGGCTGCAGCTCTGCTTGGTTTCCAAAATAACGCCAAAAGTAATTGCTGAACATAACCCACAAGCTCACAATCACCAACAAGCTGACAGAAAGGCTTGAACTGCCACAGGGGTCGTCCCTGGTACAGTAGGCCGAACTTCATCAGCAAGCTGCCCAAACGTGCAACGCATGGCTTGCTCCAGAATGTCCCAAAGGTTCGTGAGTTGGGTGTGGGATCATAAAACCCCAGTTGACATTTGTCCAGCTGCTCCAGACACCCCCCGACACATCTCCAGCGAATACCTCGTCCTGATGGGAAAGGGGTCGATGATAAAGAGCCGCTCGATAAAGAAGAACTCCGATTCAATGATGCAGTCCGTCAACTGAAGACCTTCCAAACGCCGCAATGCTGCGGCCGCCGTTGGGCGGCCGCTCGGGTAGTTACAAGATGAAGCATGGCAGTAGTTGTGAGCCGCAGTGCACATAGCTTCAGACCGATGACTTGACTAGAGCAGCAGGTTCTCTCCAAGTGTTTAAACCGAAAAGCTGACCATTTTGGCCATTCCAGGGCTTTTGTCATGACTTCTTCCATTTACCTAGCTCGCTTCGAAGTGTCGCAGCCTCACCTTGCACAGCGCCTCGGATCGCACAGGTGCCATTCTCTGGACTGAAGGTCACCTCAGATCTGCCATCACTAAGATTCCGTCCGCATGTGGAGGGTAAAAATCGGAAACATTCGAGAACAACCCACACCTCTGTGTGTCCGGGAATGTGAGAACGCCTCATGCATGGGGGCAGCTAGCAAGGGTCTCAAAAGACTTCGCGAACGGATCTGCTAAGCTGCTCTATGACCACTCATGTCCTCCCTACTGTGGAAAATTCATGTCAGGAAGTACGTGCACAAGTCCCAGAACAATCAAAAACACATATTGCAAGAATGCAATATGATCAATATGTGTGTGATCTGTTAGTAGGTGTGTGATTCTTTTACTAGGCCCCATCTGCGGTGATCGATCGCCTCCAAGGCCTCCAGTCACTCACTGCTTCAGCTGCACCTGCGCCATGAACTGCTCCAACCGGAGTGCCCAGCGAGGGCGCCGGCTGCGACGTTGGAGTCTTTGTAGTTCAGTGAGCCGGTGTTGATGGCCTCGATGGGAAAGGATGGGTTTCAAAACAGGCTGTCATACCAAATGCTACAAACAATAATATATGACAATATGACTGACAATATACATACATAATACACCGTATACACCCCACCTGAACCTTCATTTGTAGCACTTTTTGTTGCCGAACCTAGGGTTTCAGCACTACGTGGACTTGTGGTGGTTTATTTTCTATCTTTCAAAATGCTGAAGACTCGACTGAGTTTTCCTTGCGCCAGCCGTAAACAACTTCAAAACGTGCGCGCATTGACGCAAATTGCCACGACACGCGCGCAATTGAACAAGTGCCGAACACCCCTGAACCTGAAATGGGGTGGATGTCAGAGGGTACCATGTGCTTCCTTGCGCTTTTTGTTTGAATATGTTTGAATGAGGGCTTTTTTTGACATGAGCGCTTTGCTGTTGTCTTGAGAAAAGGTTCAGGTACGGCTCATACCATACCCAATATTTAACATAGATGTTCACATTCAACATATCGGTATGTACCCTACATATAGCGTAATGGTATACTTACCGAATCTGTTTGCCATTGTTGGATTGAAACCGGTCCGCCGAATGAACATGTACTGTCATTGACGACTCTCGGGTCTAGAGAGCTTGAAGTCAACGATCTAGAATCTGGGCCTGGGAGAATGTGAAAAACCCTGGTAAGTACCTTTGGTTGCTCCCCATTCGTGGGAGATACCTGTAAAACAAGTTTTCAACATGTGATTTGGAGAGGGGTTCTTCGAGTGGAGCACGGTCCGCGCGGAGTCAAGTCAAGTGGAAAAGCAAAGCACGGTCCAGAGCCTTCGACCAACAGGGAGTGGAGCAGCCAGAAGCTCAAGGTCTCATAGGTTTTCATCCAGTCCTCAGTTCGGTTTGGTGGGCTTGGTGGGGTCTTTCAAAGACCGCCCTGAAACTCATGCGATCAGTTGACAGCCCTTCTTGCCAAAACACTTGCAAAAAAGAACCACATGCGCTCAAAAACAATCAACCCAGACTCGGCTTGATCCCACACCATCATTATAGTTTCCTGTATGGCTCCAAGCCCTAAAAAAACAATCTTCCGAATGAACACGGGGATTTTGCCTAGAACAAGTTGGATGCAATGGGAGTCCACTCATGGGCGCCCAAAAGGCTTCCAAGCAGCCGCGCTCAGAACCTGGAACTTCACGCCCGCATCGAAGGCAGCCGAGGGAGACAGGAGTGCCCAGGTGGCTGGAGACCCTTAGGGAGAGACATCCACATCTGGGCCCTTGGAAGACCATCTTCCTCTACTTTGGCGGGGCTGGGGGCCCCACTGACTGATGGTTTGTTTATAGGGGGAGGGTAGTCATTCTGATTGGCACCAGCGAATCACTTCCTTTTCATCACTGACTTCATCTTGGGCTCCTCATCCATCTCACGATCTCTCATGATCTCTCATGTCAAGCGTTCGCCCTTCCAGCGGGACTTTCTTCAACCTACAAAGTGCCGCCCGGGCCGCGTTTCTTTGCTTTGCTCTGTTCCAGGATGGATGGAAGAACCGCCTCCCGAAGTGAGACCACATCTAAGCAGCCGCATTCGGCTGGAGCTGGTGGATTGTGCGGACCAAAGGGCTGATGTTGTCTTGCAGTCTTGTTTGTACCGCACCTCTCTCTCCGTACATCTCCATACTTACATTACACTACACTACATTACAATATATTACATTACACATTACGCTAAAAAAATGTATGTATATATATATATATCTCTGTTATGCGAAAATGGAACATGCCATTACATAATATTACATTGCATTCATTACAATACGTATATATAATTATATATATATGCACAATAAGAAGTATGCATGCATGTATTGTATCGACTCTATCGACTCAGGCTGATGCGGTGGATGCCAGGTTTGGTGAAGGTGATGCATCGTGATGCATCGTGATGCATCGAACGCCTCGGCCCTGCGAGTTCGGACTCCACGCCTGAACTTGTAGGCTGCAAAGCTCTTGTGACAAGAACTCTCGCCAAAAGCCTAGCCATGAGGCTTTGGACTTCCAAAGCTTCTGCATCTCCTTTCTCTCCCAGCGCGCAATGGCCTGGCGACCAATAATTGCTCTTTAGGCGTGGACTACTGCCAGTTGCTGTACAAAGTTATAAACCAGCCCCAACAAACGCGCGACGTCATGCTGTGACTTCTCAGCGCCTCTTCTACATGTCTTCGGCTCAGTGCCATCGTTTGGGACTTCGAATCCGTGAAGCTGCTGCCATTCAGAGCAGCAAACCACCTGCAGGGCCGACATGGACGAAGTCAGGGTGGAAGCCCTAGGCTTCCTGGCCTGGCACTTTGTATCATGAGCTTTACTGAAGAACCAAGGTTTTACGAAGGGAGTTTACATGGTTTTACATCGTTTTACGCTACAACACCCGTTCAATATCGTTCAATCATTTTTATTTCTTAGAATCTTTATATACAGTACCCGTTTTGGAAGGCTAGCAGCTAGGGAAACAATGGTCCCTGAAGATAGTCCTGACTCTCCACCCTCTCCACCCTCTGGCCAATTGATGCCGGCTTCATGCCAGCTTGTCCTGCCTGGCGATCAACGGCATTTGCAGCTGGTCGAGAGCCTTGATGGCCTTTCCGCTGTCCAAGTCGATGAGCTGCCGCCAACTGTGTTCCAGCAGCAGCTTCACCGTCTCCAAACGCAAGTCCTCCAGACGGTCCGAAGGGTTCCGACCCAGCTGACATCAACAGGTCCGGAGTCCAGCGGGTTTTCTGGTCATCCTGGGGCGCATCAATGTGTGAGTCCGGACCATTCCGATCAGAATCGCCCTTCCCTAAAACAGGTGGCATCTTTCTGCACCCACTCGGCCATTCACTGTATTGGGACTTAGTGGATTGCTGAGCTTAAGGGCCTGAGGCCTTGGTTTCTTTCCGGCCGCTCCTCGTACTGCTTCCCCTCTCGCTGGAAGTCTGTCATGATGAAGACGTTGGGGTAACGCTGCCGGCGGATCCAATCATCCAGCAGAGACCGTTGGCTGGGGTGAGCGCAAATCACATACCTCAATGCTCAAGAACAGCTACACTCCAAGTCACTCACACGGAAGTGGGGAAGTGGAAAACCACCTGTTTGTAGAGGAAAAGAGTCATCCAAGGAATCCACGGGGGCCATTTTCCGGGAGTGTAGGTCAGCCAGCGACCATCACTGACACCCTGATGTTCAAGAAGCCATGCTTTGAATCATGCAGCATCATGTAGGCTCTTGAGTAAAAGCCACCGATATGAAGAGGATTTACCATCCATTGGTCCATGTCTGGGGGAGCTATTCATCAAGAATTCCACCAAAAGGACTGCATTGTCCATTATAGTTTGACAGTTTGCATCTTAGTGATTGAACAAACCTATCACTCTTGCAGGTGTGCCATGAGTGCCAGGCACGCATCGCCAGGACTGGGACGAACTCGTCACTCCGCGAGAGTCGTGCGTCATATTGCATTCTTGGAATGAGCTATATAGTATAAGCATGTATATTCAAGCGTGTATACTACATATATATATATTACTAATTACTGTAGTATAAGCATGTATAAGCTATACAATACATAAAACATGGTTAAATAGTGATTGTGAGAGATTGTTCGAAGGGTCCCCCGCTGAATAAGAACTTCGTGAAACCTCCCATTCCTCCTGGTGCTTTGTTTAAAGCAGTTGGATTCTACACACGGATTTGGCTATGCCATGCCACTAGGCGTTTGAGCTTCTACCAGGATCCGATGATCTCATTGTGCACCGAATGGCCTCCGTCCGCCTCCTTCCTGTCGCGTCACACATGCTCAGTGCCATAAATGGCCTGCACCAGTTGCTGGCTTCCGGCCTCGACGGCCACGGCGAAGCGAACTGGGCGAAAGGCCATCCACTCCAAAACCATGGTCAAACGCTCCATGGGACTGCCATAGATGCCGCCCCAGACAGACCCCCCCCACCACCACCCCTGGCCTGATCGGCACAAATGGCAGTTCCATGGAGCGTCTGGGATGGATGAGATATGATGAGATGACTGAGCCGATCCTAGCCGAAGAAAACAAACTTCAAGAAGGTCTTCTTCCGTGTTCACCAGCTCATGCCGAGGGCTCATGAGCAGATTGCTGTACGCTTCCACGACCAAACCGCTAATCAAACTGATTCAAACTGCAGTTCAGCGATGCATCATGCTATCTTAACAAATCGTATCATGATTCTCGCCCTGCTAGTCGATGCTGGAGAGTCGCTCCAGCATGTTCCTCTCTCCGTTGCCTAGGCTGGTCTCTCCCATTTTGTGGTCCTTAAAACGATGAAAACCAACAGAGCTGAGCCATTGAGCCTTTAGATGGGATCCGTTTGCGACTCTCGCCCGACCCCGGGCACCCGGTCTCGCCCGGTCACCTCCTCGTCACAGCGACCGGCGAGAACTGCTAAGCGGTAGGAAGCAGCTGAGGGGAGAAGCCGAGGAGAAGGATCGGGCCTAAGATGTGTCGACAAAGCAAGGTCTGGGACTAGGCCAGCTGTATAGTCACAACATGTCATAACATCATACCTATAATCACCCGTAGGCTCAGGCTGACACAGGATACTCATGCCATCTCATGTCACATGTCCGAAAGACATCGATTCAAATACTGTAGGTCCGCCGTGTCCGCCGTGTCCTCCGGTTGGCCAGTGCACAAGGGCCCAGCGAATCGATTTTCAAGAGCGAGCACACGTGGGATTTCAACACTTCAAGGCAGCCACTTAAGTCACTTAAGCCACTTCTCTTCTTCCATTGGGGCTGGCTGGTTGGTGCTGGTCGGACCACAAGTGCAGCACCACAAGTGGACTCAATCCCTTGAAGCCTCAATCCTTGCGCATCAGGTAGCTTTCTAACAGGTTATGAGGTTATAAAGGTGTAGGAAGCGCGCACACTGGCGCGCACCCTGCAAGCCGAAGCTTTGGGTCCGTCGACTGCAACGGTGACGGCATCAACGGTGCACCCGAAGGCACTCCGTTGCTTGGTCCAGCGTCGCGGACTGCGCGGCCGCAAGGCCCAAGAGCACGAGGCACCGCATGGCACAGCGGTCCCCTCGTCTGCCATCGCAGCGCAGCGCTGGGCCCGGGCGCTGGAAAGAGAGGGAAGAGAGGGGGAAAATGAATGAGCTTGGCTGTGAGCGCCATGATTCAGCTTGGTAGCAACGATGCACAACGAAATACAATGTAATGAACTCCCGAGGCAGAGCCGGCTAAGCCGTGTTTCGTTTTCGACATGCAATGCTTTTTGCTCACATTTGTATGCCGATGCGGTTGGAAGTTTCATGTGCTGCCAGCAGCCTTACACTATCTTACACTTGCCAAAGCGAAAGGAGCAAGCGAGCGAGCGGAGGGAGACGGAGGGAGGGAGATCACATGAAATGCATCATTCGCATATATTTGTATGTCAGTGGACAGATTTGGCCAGTGACTCAGTGGTTTGGTTGAGAAAGCTGGTATCAAGGCCTGCACCAGGTGATGCATATTGATGCTGTCTGAGCAGATCAGTTAGCATTCTGGATGGACTTGTTCGTAGAGGAGAATGGCTTGCCAGGAGCCATTTTCCACTTCCATGATAGCAATGATAACATACCTCCAACTTCCATAGCGATTGCTGATCAGCTGAGAGCCAAAATGGCTGGGCGAACTGCGGAGTGAGGATGAGCTACCTCAAAAGGTCCACGCCCATCCTCACTGCCCCACTGATTTTTCATGTTAAACATCTTTCTCAACATCTTCGAGTTGCCTGTCTTCTCCACACCCCCATCTACGAATCTACGGTAGATCTTCCCCCACCGATGCCCCCCTCCGCTTCCGGATCTGATCTGTTCCTTCTCCCTTCTCCGTCCTCGCATCTCTGGGCTCTCCGACTCGACCACCGTGACGGAGGACTCCATGCTAGGAACCAAGTAGGTCAACTTGTGGTACTCCGTCCTCGCGGCGGGGCTCGCCGCCGGCGGTCGCCCGCCGGGGGCTCGCCCAGGGGCGCGCGCGGTGCTGTTCGAGCGCCGTTGCGCGCGGCTTGGCGCGTCGCGCGGGTGCCGCGAGCTGGGTCGCGGGTCGCGAGCTGGGCGGCCGGGCTCGATGGCGGCATGCACATCAAGAATGTGGACCTGGCATCCGATGTTTGAGATTTGTTCGGGTGGCCTACTTGGAAGGGACATGTTGACAGTTGGAGAAGTCCATGTTTTAAGCTACAGTATGCTACTGTACAGTCCCCTTGTTTAAGCCTTCAGGCTGTTTGGAAATTGTGTTCATCTGTCTGCTGGCCTGCAAAATGCTGCAGGCGTGGCATGTACACAATTTGGCTCTGGACTCTTGATCAATCTCGGACCATGTACAGTCACTGCCCCATATGCCAATGGGCTGCCAAGGTAAGGTGATCTCCAGGAGATAAGGCCACCAGGAGGTGATCCTCCAAACGCCCCAGGAGGTAAGGCCACCTTCTTCTCAGGTACGTAGTACGTAGAGGGAACATAATAGAGGGGTGAAACGGTGGTAGACCTGGTCGCCTTTTCCTTTCTCCCATCAACTTCTGATCCAACTGAACTCCCTTCAGTTGACCGAGTTGTGAAGAGACCCAGTTGACCGAGTAGCCCACGTTCAGAAGGTCGGTGCCATTCAGCCACTTCAAGCTTTCCTCGGTGCCAAAAACCCTCTCGAACGATCCGGCGCGGGTCTATTCGAAACACAGGCCATATTGGTCAGGGAATTCTATGGATCCGAGAAAGAGCAAGAAGGATGGTGGCAAGGGACGCTTTCCCGGGGCCCTTCAGGAACAGTCAGATGGATCCGAGATATCAATCTCCAAGAGGCAATCCTTCCTCTTGGGCTTCTCAGTCTGGGCACTGCAAGATTACTGAGGAGCTTCTCATTCGGTCTCTGTCTGAGCCCTCACGCATCGTCCCAGAACAAAGGCATGTACGACCTCCAGCGACGACATCTTCGTCTCGGCACCCGCGTCCGCGTGAGGTGGTCCTTGATTACAATGGTTTCCGAGTAGATTGCACAAACCCCAAAAGACATTTAATGGGGATCCATATCACACACACATACATAAACCACCTTTGGGAGATTGTGCCATCTGCTCTGAACCCACTGTAATGTTCTTGAATCTTTCTGTTCGCACTGTGGCGAGTTCAGGAGTGCTCGGGCCAATCACAAGTTTTCCGTAGAACATCACGAAGAAAAGCAACCGTCAAATGGGCCATAATTGAGAAGCCTCAAGTGGTTAGACATGAGCAAACAGCTTCGGTGAGACTCGTGGGAGAACGACAGGATTCCAGTCTCATCGAGTCGTCACCGGTGTCAGCAGGCATCGAGTCCAGTAGCTGCTAGCACGATCATCCCGATCCCACCCGCCCAGTTGAGACATTGATCTCCAACTACCTCCGTTTCGAAGGTGGGACTGGGGTGGGTGCCAGGGGGGGTCTACCGAACCTGAGGAGGTACGACTGGAGCCCTAGGGATACATTTCGGTGGATAAGAAAAACATGTTGAGACCGTCCATGCCACCGTCCATGCGCTCCAACGGGCCGAAGTAATCTTCAAGTGAGAATGTCTCATCCGAAAGTGACCCGAAAGGATGACCATTTCTCTCTCTACAAACAATATATATGTGGTTCCTCTCCACTTCCATCATGAGATTCCAGAGAGTGTGTTCTTTTTCTCCCTTTCTTCCGAAGAAAAAGAATCTCTGGGCGTCAGGCAGGGCAGCATCGACATACTCTTTCTTCAGGAGGGTGTCAAATCTCCAGCCTCAGCATCAACAAATTCTTCGACACAAATCATCCCTTTGACGATGCAGGTGCTGAACATTTGTGTAGAGGCCTTTGGCATGTGTCGAAAACGTAATCAGAATATCTGCCAGCCAGAAACTCTGGTTTTTAGAGTGTGTTACCCCAACCCCATATGGCAGGCCCATGTCTAATATAGTGTTTTCCTGTTTGTGTTTTCCATGTTTTGAATCCTGGATCTGCGGCTACAATTGGCTGCTGTCACAGTTCCTCCTGGCAAGACCAATGAAGGTAACACAAGAAATACTTGAGACTTCCTAGCTGAGCGCATCAAATGGTGAAGGAATGGTCTCTTCCAATCGAGGGTTTTGAGGGGTGAGCCCTTTAAGCAGTGTTGAGGTTCCTCGTTGTCACGCTGTGAAGATTGTAGCCGCGCCTGCAATCATACAAAAGCGGTTCCCGGGAGCAATGGTCATCAACCGCTTGTCGGAAGTTCAAACAAATTTCTTGTTTAGAGTTTAAAGCGGACGCTTTGCTCATTCTTACTCAAGCTGGACAACTGAGGTTCATTTGGCCTATGTCATAGAGGCAATGCAAATGAACCGAGGACTGGAGGATGACCAGCACGTGGGCCGGGCTCTCAAGGTTCTCAAAGCCAGTAATGTCAAATGAGGATCTATAGAGCTACCCCTTATTATATACGTATCAAACGGATGTATTTTCGCCCAAGTTGATGCACTAGGAAAGTCAATTGTAACCACCGTTGTCCCACATTAGAGCAAGTTCGCTCCTGATAACCAACATGTTCCCCACATTAGACCATGTTCACTCCTGAAATCCCTCAACCAAACCACGCATCCTGGCCATCCACGGTTTGTTGCTGTTTGTTCCTTCTTTTCTCCTGGCCTGGGAACCCCTTTTCTCTCTTCTTTCGTTTCTTTCGCAAAACTGGTGCTTCAACACTTAGATTCAACGCCCCGATGCAGTACTTTCAAACGAACGGTTTGAACAAACTCTTTGAACAGCTCACCAGGGGCACCCATCATGAGGCCTGGAACCTTACTTTGCAGGTCATTTGTGGATGAATATGAGCCTTCCTGTCATCGGCTGTCCTGTCCTGCGGGTTTAGTCAGGTTAATGTGGATCCGCAAAACACATGACTCGATGGATGTTGCTTTGTATTGGGGGATGGCCGTTAACAACCTTCGGGACTTTAACTGTTCTTTTCCTGTAATCATTCAGCCTCGGCACAATACAGCAACGATGGTAGAATCTTTTTCTGGCAACTTTGTCCCCAAAACCCTCCCCGCAAAAAAGAATGGAATACATTCAAGCACCAGGAAACATACTATAATATTATAAGAAACATATGCCTATATGTGATGGGTCACGCCAACTCCCAAGAACCATCACCATCTTCTTCGAGCTCGTCCACCTGAATCCGTGGCTTCGCCAGCTGGGGCTGGGGGCCAGCCGAATGATCCTTTTTGGCGTGGGCCAAGGTGTACAAAGTGATCCTCAGCGAGGACGGTCAAGTGGGTTTTAGCTTAGTCAATTGGCGACGGAAAACCAATCAAAGGAAGCTTTCATATATACGATGATTCCTGTATGTGGACTGTGGACCGTGACCTTGCATCAATTGGCCATATACCAGGGAAAACGAATAGCACTATCCTCCCCAAAAAATAGAACAAATTGGAACCACTCCTGCAAACTTTGTGGCAGCCAAGTACGGGGAAGGCTTTGATTGTGATCGAATATGAAGGAAATGTTGGAGAGCGTTGGAGGGGTAGAATCATGCATCTTCTTGGATCCCGGTAGTGCCTATACTAGCCTATACATTGACCCGTGAGATACATGGAGTGTTTGGGCCCCGCCCCATCCACCCCACCCTGAACATGGTTGTCAATCTTCTGCCGACAGAAGATAAAGCCATATAAAGCCCTCGCTACCTAGCACAATGGATCTTGAGCACATCCATGTTAGGGCTAAATTGTCAGGTTCCAAATTCCAAATTACATTTGGACACACACAAACACACCCATATATATATATACACACACATATACATGCCACATACTATAAATACATATATTTACAAATATGAATACAGTACATACTAATATCTGCCACGATCATCTCTGCACCGGCACTGGGCACCCTGGCCAGGTCCATGGCGCAATGTCCACAGGTTCCGAGCTCTTCTTTTGAGCATCCACCACCTGCAGGCGATCGTCACATCTGGACTTGATCGGGTCAAACGCTCTGTTCATCTCTTTTCCGTCTTTTGGATCATGATGTGGAGAATATCTTAGGGAGGTCCAGCAAAGCATCTGGGAGTTTCAGGGATTTCCCTCCTTTGCACTGCATTTGACCCGTCAAAACACCTCTGTCAGGCAGGTTGGAGCGCTTTAAACTGCGTGAATTCATGCTAACACATTGTTTGTCTTGATTCAAGCATGGCTGCTTGTTCAGGTTCTTTCATTAGCTTGGCCAGCCCAATAAAATGAGGATGACGAGAACCAATCCTATACGAGCTGTCTACCAAAAGCTCTACAGTCTACAGTAGACAAAAGTATATCAAGTTGTACCAACCTAATGGCGGCATATATTAAGTCCATGGGTTTGTGCCAGCGATTCTCATACCACCTTGATCAGAGTATTATTGCTGTTGATTGTGTCCATGCAAGTGAGATGTTCGCTGACCCATGAGACATACACACACAGCAACCCGCATGAACCCTTTCAAACACCGAATGGTCACTGGTTGAAGGCGTTGTAGAAATGATGTCATGATATGTCATGTCTTTCTGACACCCAACATGTCAAGAGAATAGAACACATGGAAATCCGTTTCTTTCCCCATCAAGCCATCCGTGTGGGTATGAAAATAGGGAGACCTCCCAGTTAGGACCCCCCTCAAGGAAGGTAACCTATTAGACCAGCCTACCCATTGAGCCAGGGGTGACTCCATAATCAAGAAGTCCCTATATAAATCCATGTCTGCGCCTGTCTGATCGTCTGATCCGTCAAGTCTTGCCTCAGGACTGGTCCAGTTGAAGGACGAAGGTGTAGAAACAAGTTGGACACATGTTGAAGCAGGAACTGGGTCAAGTTGGAGGGTAAATTCGAAGGGTCAAGTTAAACGAAGGGTCCAGCTGAAAGGCGAAGGTGTTCCTGTGAGCCAAACAGGAACAAGTTGAAGGCCTTGTTGGCTCGCACGCAGGAACTGTTGCATCTTGGCCGGCGGTTGGGTGCTAGTCGTTTTAGGGCTTGTGGGATTGATGCCACCTTTCGATGCGAGTTCGGGTTTTTGCGGGTTTGAGCGGGTTCGGCGCGGGTGGTGTTATCAAGAAGGGTTGTAGCCTGCAGCAACTTATATAGAGTATATAAATACTAGAGTAAATAGGCGTTTGGGGAGGCACAGGACAAAGACTGCCATCTTTCCTGAGATCGCTGCTGGCAAAAATCAGCAGAAAGTACGTGAGACAAAGGCAACTTCACAAGGACTTCATCCTGGATGGCAATTTGTTAGCTCATGAAGGCTCTATGTCAGCGTGACTGGCGCTATGTTATGCAAATAACATGCTACTGACGGGCGCACCCCACACGCTCCTCCCCCAGGGGCATGTCCTGTTGTATTAAGTGTTGTATTATAGTCGTTAAGTAATACTTCCGCGTAATGATCCTGAGGAAAAAAAGGTCTGTGATGTGGCAAAGCGGTGGGGATACTTGGCAACTGCTTTAGAAACTTTAGAGCCCTTCAAGCATGTTTGAAATGCTAATAGGCGATTGGCAAGCATGATCTCAAGGCAGAACCTTCCGAGGTAAATTGAACTTGTGGTCATGGGTTCTTGGCTGCCACGACCCTACCCAAAGGCCCTCTGCCAGGGGCTCAAGGGATCAAAAGGCCTTCGTGAATTCAGGTGGCTCTAGGGGTTGCTGAACTGTTCAGGCATCTCTACGGTGCTGGGCGCGCAGTTCAGCGCTGTGAACAGCTGCCCAGCACCCCCCATCGCGCGGCGCACCGCACGAGCACCGCCCTCCTTCCCGACGGCCATGGTCGTCTCAAGTCGACGTTCGTAGCGCCCTGCGGCACTCATGCCACATGTCGAAACAGGACCAAGGGGCCAAGTGACGTGTCTTAGGAGAGTCAATTGCTGGGACCGTTTCCTTAACACAATCCCAAACCGGACACTGAGCCAGTTACATGATGCTAGATGGCTCTGGGCTATTGAAGCAGTCTGTGTCAGAGTTGTTTTCAAGCGGCAACAAATTTAAGTGGCGCCCGACGTTATCTTCTTCAAGGGAGGCATGACGATACAGCGGAACCAATGACGAACTCCAAAACATTGGTCAGTTAACTTAGGTCTGTTTCTTGATCATACGCAGATAACGAGCAATTTGTCAACTCATATTTGTAGCCATGTCAGCCAAGTGATGCAATTCCTCTTGTTGTCCTTGCCTTTCTCACTGAGGTAGTCCTTGACTACCTTCGGCACGGGCCCATCTGACTGGTTCACCCAAACGAAGCAATGCTGTCTGCACCAGCTGAAGCCCATACTGACTCCCTCACTTTCGCTGGAACATGTAAATGTAGGTCATGTATGGTAATATATATCCTATTTTTGTTCCATGCTGAGTCTTCATGGGGAACCACTCCACAAGAAACGTCGTTTCCAATGAACTCGCCGATGAGGCCCTGACCAACTTGGGACTGACCCATCCACCAGGTCCACCCTCGATCCTGAGTGATGGACCGGTCGTGGCACGAAGGGATCGGCTGGCGCGAAGAAACACCAACAGCCAAAACATCCTGGGCTCATCAAAATGAGGCCGACCAAACTGATCCGTAAGCCTGCTAATCCGAAAAAAGGGTCTGCAAACCACATATAAAGAAAAAGAATATATACGGTAAATAGATGGACTCAAGGCAGTGTGAACCAAGGATCTTCAGAAGAGACTTTGGAGGCCTACGGCCCAAAACCCAAGGTCCCAGGCCAGTTCTTCAGGCTGGAAAACTGCTCAGCCTGAAGGCGCAAAAGAATCAAGAGAGACTCACTTCTGAAGGTCCTACGGTGCTGGAACTTGCTTGAGTTAGGTTTTTGGACCCCTCTTGCGTCAGGGAGGCCAACGATGTGGGCATTTTGGTGCTTTGGTTGCACTGGGCCTGATTTCAACACGTCTGAACGCAAACCTGCTCACAAAAAGCCAGGGCATGTCACAGAATTCCGGGCCACATCGCCGTGGTAGCAGTGGGGAAGGGTCGCCCTCCTTACCTTTGCGTCGCTTCGTCGTCGCCAACATCGAATCTGCACCGCTATCCACCGCGAGTGCCTCGATGGGAAGGCCTAGTGCATCGATCTGATCGAAGCCATGGCAGTTATGGCAGCCATGGCACAAAACCGGCGAAGGCATAGCTCAGTACTATAGTCACTAAACGTTTCTGACCTCAAGTCTTGGATGGGGTGATGATGTTTTTGGTTGCCAACTATTGACATGTAGTTCTTTTGCAAAACATGCAGCCCTGATCAAGTTCTCCTGGGACCCCCTGGCCGTCACTGCACTAGCGGTTGCGTTCCTTAGCCCAACGTTGCAAACATCATTTCTGTTTGCGAAAGAATGAGGGGATTTGTGAGATCTGCTGAACCGCCATATCCCACAATCTCACGGCTTTCCGCTTCGAACTCTGGAACTGAGCAGGTCTTGGAACACAAGCTTCGGTGAACGAAATCGCCGGACCACCTCCTAAACCAATGGGAGGTCAAGAATAAGAGCTCGAAAAATCACAACAGCAGCTGAACCAAGCTGAACAACTGCATAAGGACGGTTCCACTTCAGAGTCTTGTGCCATAGACTTGCCGTTCATATCGACCAAAACCTGGAACCCTCGCCTCTTGCAAAGCCAGGACACTTGTAAAGTTCCTTCTGCAGGCCATGGGCATCATGATGAAACCACCTGGTCAGCTGGCGATTGGTGAATGGATCTACGCAAAGCACTGGAGGGTCGACCCTCCACGCAATTCATCATATTCTGATCCCTACTGATCCCTGATCCCTCCAAACATCCTAAGGGCATCTAAGGGCTCCTCTTTTCTTCACCCCGGATGGCCTGGCCACTGGTCCAGCCCCCCCGTAGAGATCCAGCGAAGGCGCGCCTCACGGGATTCCATTCATCGAACTGCGGGGAGATGAGACCTGAGCGCGGACGGCGGACGTCTGACGGTTCCGGAGACATCGCCCTAGATCTGACCTCATGGCCCTACTCTCTCCCTCTCCCGGCCCAAATCAGGAAATGGTATTTGTATAAGGGTCCATTCCCAAAGCCCGGCCGTGTACATATATATATATATACAAATGCAATACATGCAGCATCCTACACTCGCATTCTCTATTTTTGCCTTGGAGTACGCTGAGTACTGTAGCTACTAGTCACTCAAGGCAACATGCGAAGGCACATGACACGGTGATCAACGGCTTCCCGACGCAGCCAGGCCGAACGCGAACCAGCCCCGAGTGCTCCGAACCGTTTCACCCACAGCGGGATGGACTTTTTCGACCCACTCGCCCCACAGCATTGGACGTCAGGGTCTAAGGTGGAAATCCTTGGTGCTCCCAGAAAGGGTCAGGAAATGGACTGCAACATGAACACAGGCGAGCTTTCAATCCAATCAAGTTGTCCGACTTGGGGATTGACGCTTGTCCTGAAGATCATTCAGAGCGGGAAATGGGGGGAAGTTTCCATTCACCGTGACACGGGCCATCAACATGATTTGAATTGCTCTAAGCACATGTAGAGTTGGAGCACTCAATCGCCGATCATGAGAGTCCAAGTCGGCAAGCTCTGCGAAGCAACTCGCAAGCACAGAACAACTTGCTCACGGGGATGGAGTTAATCAACATCAATCTATAAATGTGCTTCCCATTTTTCTCCATGCCTTCGCCCAAAAAAGCCCGAAACTCTTGCCTTGTTCCTCTGGGGATCTTAACGCTGTGCTTCGCTGTCTCTGCAAACCTCTCCAAGGTTCCAGTCGTCTCCAGCCCGTGCGTGCCCGGGCTGTGCGCGCCGGACAGCGCGCCGCCCCAGGACGCATCCAGGATTTGCCCTCGCCCCGGCGACCCAGCTGGCGGTGGCACGGCCGGCGCAGTGGGTGGGGGCGGCGGCGACGTAGGCAGCGTGGAGATGTTGGGAGGGCGGTCCTTAGGTGTCTGTCGCATCGTGCAGTGTACTTTCAAGAAACCAGGCGTAAATGGAGTGATGAGTCATATGATGTCATATGTTAATGCTGCTAAAGTGGAATCTGGAGATGTTCAACTGGCCCTTTGCCTCCACTTCAAGTTATTTTCAAGAGCTCCGGCGGAGCCGAGTGGAAAATCCTCTTTGCCAGCGCAGCACCGACCACTAAACCTCAACAACAAACAAATGCCCTTCCAAGTTGCAGGGAGCAGTTTATAGAAGTCCTCCCTGGGTTAAACCTATCTGGGCAAGTAATTGTAATTAGGCATGTACATGCATGTACCAGTTCCAGATCCATGAAGACCTAACAAAGATCCCAACATTAGGGTGAAACAAAGGTCGGTGAGACTCTCAGATGCACGTCACCCAGTCCCAGATCCAGATCCGAGAAGCGGGTGGACAGGTCAAGGTGCGGTTCCCTTGGCCATCATGACCGACCTGTCAGCGACTCAAAAGGAGCGACTCAAAAGGACCGGACCCGCAGGCCTTCCAAGAAAGAAGAATGGTGGACCTACAAGTAGTGGTGTAGTCTGGTGTAGTACAACAATGTTTTTTCTTGGGCGAAAGATCCTTAATAAAAAAAACACTCAAACAACGGCTATGCATGTATAGCTTGAAGCCAGCCCAACCTGCAATTGTGGATGTTGCTTCCGCTTTTGCACCATATATATAGTTGATTACAGTGCATACTGACTCATGGACAACTACTACAGTAGGCACGAGCATAGGTCAATTGTAAATAATCTGGTGGATGTGGGCTGATCGATGCTGCTTCTATTGGCTCTAGGTCATTTCAAACATTTTTGCTGAAGGTACAAGGCAATATGAGGAAACAGCGGTCGCCCCGAGTGGATTTGGGAGCACAACATTGGCTGTAGTTTCTCGGTTTCAACCATCTATATAATATATATATATATACCCTAGGGATCCCTAGGGATCCAGATGTACCTTCTTAGAAGGTACTTGGATCATGTTGGGTCCCTAGGGGGATTCTAGAACATCACCCAGTTTTTCCGGCTGTCAACATTGGCTCAGCGCCCGTGTGGTCGGGCCCCTCTTCCAGTTCGGTCCCAGCTGCTGGGATGATCTGCTGCACTTGATTCAGCTTCTGCTGCAGGCGCCGAATCTCGGTGCGGCAAATCATGTTGTCGTGTTCCTCGGCGTGGGCGACGCTGGAGTGTTTCTAGATCGTGAGGTGCTGGGAGGACCACCCAACACATGACTTATCCAACGAGGATGGTGATAGGATATGGGATGCTCACATGTTCACTCCAAGCTTCGAGTTTCCGTTTCTCCTCATCGAACTTCAAGGCTTTCATCTCCAAATCCTCAGAGTTTTTCCTGAGGCGTTCCTGAGACTTCGCGATGGCCTCAAGCTTGGATTCGCAGCCCTCCTCCTGGCTGACCGTGAGGGTGGTGGATTTACATGTATTATAATTGTAAATATATATATATATAATATATTAATCATGATTAATCTATAAAAATTCCGTGGCCAAGCCAGGCAACGCTGGCAAAAAACCGCTGCCACCTTGAGGGTGAGTTGAGGAGCCTTTGAATCTCCCTCACAAAATCTGCACGGTGCTCCTGCATGGACCGGCCTTGAGTGGAGTGAAACAAAGAGCTGAAGCGATGGGGGCAGCTTCTCAAACAGAATCACCAAACAATCATCCCCAATCTGACTTACACTACTATAATAGTATTGAGTGTTGTTCCTGCATTAGTTAAAGAACTTTTCACCCTTCGACGCCACCCGCTCGACATCTGACCCGCCACCGTGCACCGTGCGTCCGTCCTGTCGCTTGAGATCCTCAAATTCCTTTCTGTTCTTCAGAAAGTCCTCCTCCTCAGGTGTAGACCGATGCGAAAGATGAAGTCCGTCCGTCCGGCCTTTGTTTCGACCAGTCCGGGACATGCGGTGGACAGCCCTGGACATGCAAGTCTGCAGGGTGTTTAGGTCGTTGCCCATCAGCCTCGAGAAGCATGTCAATCTAACGGCTGCGGGGGCCCTGCAAGCTTTACAAAGTCGTACAACCTTCCAGTGTCTGACACACACACACACACACACCTCCAGCCACAAACATCAAACACCGAGTGGTAGACATTGTTTTTCCTTCGCTCGAGTCTGTCCTTCGCCCATCGCTGTTCTTCCAGCGTTTTGGTTTGGAGATTGACCTGCGCCAAAAACGCGAGGCGGCGCTTGGAGTGAGGCCAAGCGAGGCAAGACGTGGTGGAATGTGGTGGACAACATTGCTGTGAAGGTCTACCCTCCCTGCAACAATCATGGAAGTGGACAACCCCCTCTTGGTAGAAGAAAATCGTCTTCCTTTCGGGGCCACTGTCCACGTAACCATGATTGTTTCAGGGAGGGAATGTATACACACTGGAAATTTAGCATGGAACCTGAAAACTACTGGGTTGTAGAGGGAAATAGTCTTCCGAAGGTCCATTTTCAGGTTCCATGTTAATTTTCCCGGGTGTAGGCTAACAGGGAATCCCCAAACTCCACAGGATGGAAAAGTACTTTTCCTCACACCGGACGGGACTCCGGTACATACAGTGTGGACATGCAGCGGTACACACTCGTGGGGGCGACAGGGCATGCGGGCATCCGTTCGTCACCAGTCGCATTCAAGATATCACATGGCTGTGGGTGAAAGCCACGAGACCTCTACCTGGTTGACCTACCTGGAAGGTCCACCGGTCCAGAGAGGACAGGTGTGGTGTTGACCAATCCCCACATCGGAATGTATGGGCAATATGACATACCAGACCAGCTTTACACACGCTAATCCCCATAGCCCTCTAGTTCGCAAGGTGCAGGACGTTCGGAACGTGTCCGAGAAGGAACGCGGTCCCGCACGCGGTCCACGCCCAACATCCATGGTGGATTCGCTCCCAGTGATCCTTCACGGATGGAGTGTGACACATGTCCGCCGGGTGAACGGGAGGAAAGCTTGGAAGGCGAGCCACCCAATGGTCCAAGTGTCCGGGGGACTTCTCCAAATGCGAACTGCAATAGCTATATACATGACATGATTATACATGTATGATGTATGTGTGAAGTGTCTATATATATATATATCATGTGTATATAATATTGTAGATGTCCTTCTTCAATCTTAATCTGCTGGTTTCGGAAGTAGCTCTTGATCTTAGACCTGTCGAACTCGGGATTGCACAGGTCAAGAGCCGGTAGGACCGGTGCAACCTGCATACCTCCAAGATTAAAAAGACAAAGATGATCACCCCTGAGTCTGGCCATTAGTCTGGGGCTTTACAAAGCAGAGTTCTTGTGACCTATGAATATGCATTTTCACGGTCATGAAGAATCACGGTCATCTGATTCCCGCGCCGGGAAATCACTTGGGACATGACGTAGCCATACCCTTTTTCCATCTGGTTACATAGCGGGACAAAAAGAATCCCCCACAAGGTTTCAAGGTTACCCACTGGGTCGAGAAAGTGTTTCAGCGCCGCCCACCTCAGCTTCGAAGTCCTTGAGACGCTGCTCACGCTCGCACAACTGCAGCCGGTGGTGTTGCATCTTCTCCTGCGGTCTTCTCACAGCCGAGCGATCTGCTCGGGCTGGGTCCGTCCGGCGGGACATAGTCCACACATGTTCACACTCCAACAAGCTGAGATACTTGTTGAAAACTATGGGTTGCTGGGGGGGGGCCATGCTCGTCTAAACGTCTAGACGTGAACGTCTGATCGTTCCAACTGCGCCAGGGTCCGTCGATGTGGCTTGGACGGGCGGGTTCCACCGACCGCGGTGGGTTGGAACATCAGGCCGTAACTCGGATGTGCACGTCAAATGGGTTCCAGGTCTATGTCAGTTGCCACCCGTTGCCACCCTCAAGAAAGCCGGTACCATCCAGATCCTCCTTCAGCTTCATCTCAGACCTGGGATGTGGTGCCCAGTGCGAAAAGGAAGCAGCAGGAGGCGCTGCGCTGCTTGGTGCTTGCAGGGTTCTGATGCAAAGCATTGTTCATCTTGCAGTTTAGCAGTGTCATCATACCAAAAGTTCAAATAACTATTCCCTTTCAGATGTTCTTCAGATCTTTCGATATTCCATAATTCATGGGAGTTGAGTTCAGCCCTAGCAGTCTTGGTGATGGGCTTTTGGGGTGTGACCTCTTGAAGATAAGCGACAAAAACATCTCAAAAACGGCTCAACGCTCGAAAAATCGCTTTCGCAGCCTGCGGTCCGGTCCTCGGTCTCTTCGACCTCCCTCGGTCTCTTCGGACCCGGAAAAGCCGACCCGGTCTCCCCGAACTCTTCGTTGTGTCGGGTCCATGCCTTTGAACGAGATCCAAGCGGCATCCCTTGCTTGATCTTGAGCCCCAAGTCCATCATGTGTTTGGAAAGCTTCCTGGGCGAACAAGACAAGAAAGGGGCAGGGGGGGGGGCAGGGCAGCCACCAAATCAGACCGGCAATCACCATCTAGACCCCCCAAATGGGTAAATAAACATATATACTTGAGGACAGTGGGGACGAAAGCGAGGGTGTGGAAGGATCAAGGGAACGCGGAGGGAGGGCAGCATAGGGCAGCAACGCAACGCTTTTGTGCCACGAGCGCAAAGTGTTGTTGGCTGAGTCAACCGAACACTTAAAAAAAGCCTCGACTTTCATATTGTCTTTTCTAGGCATTTGGTATGCCTTCTCACAAGGACGAGGGAGGAGTCGAATAGATTCTTTCAATTCACTTTTGCAGGGGGGTGGGGCCGCCCCCCCTTAGACGTTTCAATCTGCAATTGAAATATCAATTCCTTTGCGAGGGAAGGGGGAATTATTGAAAGAATCAATAAAAAGGATCAATTAGTTCACTGAACCTTTCAATTTTGAGCCTCACCATATTTCGTAAACAACAACTTCCGCTGAGCTCCTTCTGAGCTCGCTTTCGTTATATATATATATACTTATATATATACATATCTATCTATCTATCTATGTACCCACTTTAAGAATGTATTGGAACGCATTTCTATATATCTAGTTGGGGAACCTATTGAAATCCGTGCATGTAGATCTTTCAAGGTTTGCTTTTCTATTGGGGATCCACATGGATTGGAGCCTTGTGTTGTCAGGGTAGATCTGCCTCCAACATGCCTTATAATAGTTCCCAAACATCACCAACAACTTGACTGCATTCACCATGGCCCATGTTCATCACCATTGGTCTGCAGTCACCGTTTCCAACTCCTTCCTTCTTTCAACACCACGCAGCATGAAATTAATCAAAGGATTGGCCACCTGCATCGTCGATGAACGCCTGTGGTCCTACAGCGGCTTCCCCATACGTGAAAAGGTCTAGACCTCCATCCAGTGTCTCCCCCAAAACTCCAACCCAAACACCCCTTGAACAAACTCTTTTGACAATGCCACGCCCCGCAACATCCCTAGGTCTCCCAAAAGAATCCGCCGAAGCTCCAATTCTCCATTTGGCTGTGCTGCAGGCGTTGCTGTCGCTGCCTCAGCTCCTCTTCTTGTGCCCGCAGTCGGGCCTCCTTCGCTTCCACCTGCCGCTCCAGCTGCGGGCGCTCGGCCCTCTCTCCGTGCTCCTGGATGCGTAACGGCCCGCCTCGTCCCGGCGGAAGGTTGGAAGGGAGAGCAACAACTTCCCCTAAGGATCCAAGTGCCCTCTGAGAAGGTGGGACTGGGGTGGGTTTGGAGGGTCCAAGTACCTTTGAGGAGGTACTTGGATCCCTAGGGTTCTATGTGGGTCCAAACTGGAGGGAGTTCCACCTACGGTGAGTTCCGGGCCATGACCGACGTGCCGTAAGCAGTGCCACGACAAAAACCCACCTGTGGCGGCTTTTTTTCCACCAGGCGACCGTCGAGAAAGGAGTGTTGGGTGAAGCTCGCAGGGATGAAGCCGATTGAACTGTGCCTCGTGCCTCCTAGTAGCTTCTTGTTCCTAGTAGTAAGGCCAGGAGCCCCTGGTAGCGTCCTTGCTTTCTGCATAACAGTCGCTTGATTTCGATCCTATCCGACAGACGAAGAAACCCAGAGCAGGACACCAAAGGACTCGTTCCCGGTCCCGCTGAAACAGCATCGACGGTCGGTCGGGCGAGGCACCGCTTTTGTGAAGTTCTCTTGAAGCATGAGTTGGGAAAACCTTATTCCGATTTGTTCTGCCAGACTGGAGCAATCACGAGTTGGAAGATACATGAAGATACACAGATATACACAGTATATTTGACCACATATAGACATCAATGATGTGTGTACCCATGGACAATCATTGACATCATCCTACTGGGCACAAGAAACCCGGACTCTCAGCTCTATAGTGCTTCTGCCACCGCTCCTGCGACCAGTTCACTCCGGGACCTCGACCGCGCTCACTGGGTGCCAAGTTGGGCGCAACCAAACCTCGATGGCTGCCGCCGTGACCCGGTGGTGTGCGGAATGGAACAAGGAAGATCATAAGATCCCTAAAATAGAAAGCTTGTGATATCAATATCCGGGTGACCATCAGTCATTAGACATCATTGTGCAAGTCTGGCTCAAAATGGCTCCAACGTATCTAGATCGAGGTGCCGCACAAAAAACATCAAGAGTTGCTGTTGCTAAGTCTGACTGCTCCAAACAAAGCAAATGCATGGCGTGTTCGGTCATATTCGGTCCCGCCTTCAAAATGACCCTCCAAGAGCTGGCGATCCTCTGGTCGTGGTGCGCTCTCGCCCAGGCCAAACCGGCCAGGCATCCGTGCCTGGCGGAACTGGGACGGTGTCAAGGGAAGGATGTTTCGAAGCCGCCTGGCACCCTCTAATTAGTCGGCTCTTTAAAGAACTAGGAAGGAATCCAAAACATGTTGGAAGCAGGATTTGGAACCTTCCTTAGCAATCTTTGGCCTTTGGCATCAAAAAAATGGCCCTCCTTCCACACATCATGTACGGTACTGCAGGTTCCTGGGAGGTAGAACGGGGCAAAATGATGCAACGCCATACTCCCAGCCACCTCCAAGCCATAGAGAGACTTCTTTACTGTACCCCCCCCTGCAGCGAGAGACGGTCCACCCCGCCTGTAAGAATATGTCCTCTGTGTGATCAACAGCTGGAAGCGATTCTTCCCATTCGCCTGACGTGCCAGGACGGGTGTCTAATTAACTCTAATTATATATGCAAACACCCGAGCGTTCAGGATCTTCGACGGCAATTCCCTGAAGAGTGTCGTGAATGAATGTGAATTACCTAATGAATCCTAATGACCTCCAACTTTTCTTCCAACAAACCACCGTTCTTTCGATGTTCAGAGTACGATGTTTGTCTGTTCGGTGCCTGTTCTTTTCGAATGCAAGTGCCTGGCAAAAATGCTAGCCAGCACTGCTCCTCACTGAGTCTTCTTGTTCCGAAGGCGCACGACTCCGTTTGTCTGACTTTCAGTCTTTCGGCTGTCTCCTTACGGATGGGTCTGCCACCAACGCATGCGCGTTCACCACGATGGCGCGCATATATGAGTCACAACACAAAGCTGAGAGAGAAGAAGAAGCGAGGGAGAGTCCGATGAAACTGATGAAACTGATCCAGTCGGTCAGGTGAGTAATGCTAAGCCTCGTGGAGAGACCAAGCACCCTACCTTGCTTGGAATTCAAGAACCTAGTGAGACTACTTAGTAGTGTCTGACTACAATTCGATCAGTGAATTATCTTGGATTTGAAGTAGACACGGTGATGTTCTCTGCCAGTCCAAGTTTAGAGTAGCGACACCAAAGCCCTGCCATTTTGTGCGGGCCTGTGAAGTCTGCCACACAGGCCATCGCAGTCCTCGCTCCAAGAGGGGCCAGGAGGAACAAGTAAAACGGCTGCTGGGCAACTACCTCTTCAGGTCTTTGGACCCTCCAAACCCACCTCAAACACCTTCTGAGCTTTGGCTGGTTGCACTGGTTGCCCCCTCTTTCGTGGTGAATGGCCAACACGGGCGATTGTTCGAAGGGTTTGAACATAGAAAGCACGTCATATACTACAAACCAAACCTGCTCGAGCTGCTGCTTTATTAAACCAACGACCTGCAAAACCTGCAGTGTGGGTGATATGTGCACTTATCTGACTTATCTGCGCATTCCTGCATCAACTGCAAGTTTCAAGGGTCTAACCTGGTCTGGGACACGACCCAAAATGATCCAAATGCCTCTCCTGAGGCCTTTTGAGTCCACCGCCATCTAGCTACTTGTCTTAAAAACGCACGTCCAATGAACAGTCATTTTTCAGTGCGTTTCACACGACCGTCAAACCGAGAACCGCCACCGAGAACTTGAGTGCGAACCTGTTTCTTCGGACCCCTGCACCCATTTTTCAAGACACTTCCCAAACACTCCATGTCCGGATTGCTTTTGATTATAGATATACAGTAATTATATACATTATATCATTGTGTTATGATATATGCCTACATTGACCCCATGTCAACCACCCCAATGTAGGTGGACATTCCATAGGGGGGGGAGCGTCTGGGCTTATAGCCCTTAGAATGCTTGGACTTTCACTGCATGTCCTTTCAGGCTTCATCGCTGCCCGGCTGGGACTTGGAAGCGTCGTCACCGAAGGACCTGGGCTAAGTGGTCCAGTTGAGGCGGCCGGGTCCGTGGGTGGAGATTGAATGG